CTTTTGGTAGGGCTTTTTTCTGTCATCTGTGTTTCTTTTGGTCACTAGCCTGACCAAGATTTCTCCTTGGAGAAGAATGCCATCCAATCCAATGCAATAGATTCACTAGAGAAATGTGGCCCATTCAGCCCATAGCTCCAACCTAGCACTGCACACAGCGCCCTGCTTTTAGGGTCTCAGCTCTCTGCCTAAGGGTCCAGATTGTTTGAAGACTGTGAAAGAGTTAAACGTCAATTTTAGAACTGAGTGTCCTTCCCACCAGAGAATTTTATTTCAGTATACCATTATGGTGAATTTTACTAATGCTTGCCTATGGGGATATCTGGGTAATGGCACCATCTGACTCTTATCATAATTTGATTCAAACTCATATTGCTTTTGCATTTTATTTCTCTTTGCCATTTTGGCTTGTAACAAGCAACAGCAGGCTGAAATTTTACCTAAATGAGAGCATTTTTGCTCAGCAAAAGAACATTACTCTGTGCCATTTGCTTAATAGTTCACATTACTGTGTAGGGAGAGCTGCATCCTTAGGCCAAGTTCCTGGCACCCAGCTTGTGAAAAGTTTCAAGGCAACATAACTGTAGCTTCTGCATGGCAGAATCTTCATTGTCTGGGCAAAATGATGGTTTCTGAGCTAGACCAGAAGTCAGGAAAAATGAAGAAGTCAGATGAATGAAGTCTAGCCATACTCTTGCCACAAAGCATTCACATTTACTAATGAAAACAGCCTCTCTTACTACTCATTCCCTATCACTGGTATCACAGGAATTTAAGAGATGGATTTTGCCATATTGTGTTGATAAAATCCTTTTCCACAAGAAATGCCATTGATATTACTTACCCATAATAAATAAATAGGAAAGGTTTTCTGAATTGCAAGGAACTACTGCTAACACCATTTAGTATTGATCCTAAAATACACTATCACTAATTATTTACTTTTACATAGTACTATTTTTTAAATGCAGGCTCTTTCAGTACTTCCTAAAAGCTGGGCAAATGCTTAGGGAAAGTAAGTAGGACAATGTGTCTTAAATAATAATTATTCTGCCTCATGAGTGGATTTTCTTATGTTCAAGAAACGCTTAGATGTTGTACTGAGGGACACTGTTTGGTGAGGAAAGATTGGCTGTAAGTGGGTGGTTGGACTGGATGACCTTGGAGGTCTTTGCCAGTCTTGGTGACTCTATGATTTTAGAAACACCGGTTTAACCATACACTTGAATTTTTCACTTTTTTTCCACTTGTACGCATCACAATTTCCAACCATTTGGCATGATTTTCTTACTATTTCCTGCAAATTTTTTTCTGCCTTCCCATTGTTCACCAACCTTCATTTGCGAAGACTTCAGCTTCTACGTTAAAATGCAGGAACAAAGTGACAAGGGTAAGCGCCTGCCTTCATCAACCCAGACCTCGCCTGAAGAAGAGTCCCGCAGCGCTCGTTTGCCAGCTTTGAAGCAGAGGGCCGGTAAGCCACTGCCATCACCTGCATGAAGGGGAGCACATTCTAGGGAGCAAAGCCCGGCGGTCAGTGCCTGCAGAGCAGGGTCACTGCGAGCCCCAGCTGGAAGCACCAGGCCAGCACTGAGCTCAGCTGCCTGCCAGGGCACCCGTGACTTGAGAGCATGCAGTTCAGACTGCAGGTGCCCGCAGAGCATCCCATCGTCCTGAAGCAAGCATTCGGCGTTTAGGCAGTGGGACACATGGGTGGGGAAGGTGTCACATACCAACTGCGTGCCCTAATGCTGAGAGGGATTTTAGCAACGGGAGTCGAATTGGAGTCTGAATGACAGAGCACAGAAAAGGACTGATATGAGAAAGGACTGCACAAAACCAGTGTTTCATTGTACAATCAGATGCACACCTGTAGCCAAAAGTGGAAGGGGTTCTTTCTGAACTCCTGACCTCCTTCCTCCCTGTGGCTGATCATATTTTTTCCCCAAAAAGGCTCAAAGGACACATTTAACAGATTTTGATAAATATCTAGAATAACATGAGAAAGACATTAGTTATTGCCAGCCTGTGATTAGGGTTGATATTGATCTAGAAAGCCAGATATTATTATTTTTAGCCTGCTATAAAGTACTTCAGTGGCTTATATTGAAATTATTTCAGAAACTGTTTTTATTAATACACATCTGTCTCCTTCTAAGCAGGTGATAGAAGTTTGATCTCCAGCTTGAAAACCTCGAGACCCTTAGTTGCTAGGAAACCACCAAATCTAATTCCTGTGGCTCTTATAACACAAAAATATAATTATATAGTGATTCTCTCAGAGAAACTCACGCTTTGTGTTTTTCAGAACCCCCTCTGTTGGTGATTTGAAGCTTTCTTTTTATTCATTTAGCTTACAGAAAAGGCACATCAGTTACATAGATATTGGTAAATATGTTAACAGAAGGAGATATGACGTTCTTTCATCAGAATTTTGCATTTATCTAATTGCAGGAATGAAAAACTACTATGTAGCATGTTACAAGGTCTTGAAATTTACTTCTTATACAGATTTGCAGATTTATCTTTAATATTTCATTACCATGATTGTTGATCGTTTCTGGTTCAGATGATGTCTTTGCAGACAATCAATCTAGTGTCTTTATGAGAAACATTATTCATAAACGTATGTAAAAGGTCCCTGCTTTCATTATAGCACAACCAGTTAACCATCTATCTATGTATGCCCATCTGACCTTTCAATTACTGGCTTATCTGTATGATGCATTGCAGTGGAATTATTAATTCTACCCCCTTAGATTTTTATTCTTTGGCCCAGCAGGTCTACTAGGAAGAGTAACACATATGCCATTAATAACAATTATCAGTGACATGACAGAACCTGAATGAGATTTCATTCAGAAAGGTGATATTCTGTTTATAAACTTAAACAAATAAAAATACATTATATTCTGGGAGTGTCATTCTTAACTGCATCGAATAAATGTTGCTATGAATAAAGCAGTGATACCTTAGGAAATGGTGGACTTTCATTCTGCCCTTTCAGGATCATGATACGTTTGCCTGGATCACACAGTCTGAACTGCTTTTGCAAATACTTTGAGCAAGATAAGAGCTCAGTGCTGGAAGATAAGTGTTGGAACAAATCCAGCATGCATAGGAATAAGATTGGAAAGAAAAAAAGAACCCTATAAATTTACATTTTCCTAGTTCTCCAATTCTTGACCTTGCAATTGAGAATCACACTTTTTAACATATAACTTTAATGAATATACCCTAATGGTGTTGCACAAATATCTCAAATACAGATAAACTCCATTTTCTCTCATGAAACTACTTCTCTTAAAGGATAATTATTCAAACCCTTTGCCCACAAAAGCATTCCTAACAGACAGATCTTACTGCAATGGTGTAACTATGCCCTAAAAACTCACTGTGTACTTTTAAACACAGAACCTCCATCACAACAAAACATAGCTGCTCTCTGCAGTAACAGCATTACTTCACACCCTGCAGTTGCCCACCAAAGGTTTTTAAGCACCATCAGAAGTTCTAGAAGCAGAGCAGAGCTCTCATGGAATGGGGATGGTAAAGACTTGGATGCTATACCTTGAGAGGAGGATGCTGAAGGATGAAAAGAATATAAAGCAGATATGAAATTAGAGGCTTGGAATCCACCTCAGATGAGAACAGGAAGCTGAGTGCTTTCTTCTCCTTTAAGACTCAGCCAGAAGCACAAGAGGTGCCTCCAGCATAGCACATCCCCTTGCTACAGATGTGAAAAGCACAGGGAGCTGTAATAGTATTGTGATTTTCCATTCCAGCACTAATATCTGAGAAAATAATAAGATAATCAGTTTCTTCTCCAAAATACAATGTGAAAATTACAGTTTGTATTCATTCTCCTTTTGTTTCACTTATACCATCACCTCTATGGCTCTGTCATTCTCATTCAGGCACCCTGCAATAAGCCACCCTTGATCCTCTACTTTGTTTTTGTTATTTCCCAAAGTATTTCATTAAAGTAAGTTAAAAAATGCAGTTTGGAAGGATACACATTTCTAAAGCAGCTGGAATGATCTAAATTAAAAACGCAACAAAACACATGTGGAGCTGTAGGTACAGCAAGAAAGAGATGAAAAGAGAAAGACAAGAAGTCACCATCCTTCTCCTTACAGGAATGTGGAGAGGACAGCCTACAAGGAAATTACTGGCAGGTGGCTGAAGCAAGTGCAGCTTATTAGACTGCAGTATGAATACAGGACAGGAAAATGATTTACATGTAGACTTCAGGAAAGGAAGGAAATTTGAAGAGTTGTACTCATACTTTTTCTTGAATCTTCTCATTTTCTGAATAAAGATGCTGAAAATAATTATTTAATTGCTCTATTAGTATAGCTTTGTATCAGCATGAACGGGAAAAGCATCATCAATTTCTCTTCCTTTTCCTCTGCAAAACTCACAGGGCAGAACAAAATTTTAACTACAGTATCACTGCTTATATCTGTACTTCTTTATGTCTGAGGCGCAGGAACAGGCCTTTAGGAACGAACAATTCCAGGGAACAGGAGCAGCAATAAACCTGACTCTAATTACCTACACAGTTTCTCTTTAAACAAAACTTGGAACAGGCTGCCCAGGGAAGCGTTCAAGGAAAAGGCCAATGTAACACTGAGGGACATGGGTTAGCAGACATGTAGAGTTGGGCTCATCGTAGGACTAGAGGATCTCAGTGGCCATTTCCCAACTTAAGACTTCTATCATTCTATTCATTCAGGCTCTGAAACCGAATTTAAGCTCTGAACATAAAGGAAAAGCCCTGCAGTTGCCTCCACAGTTGTGTTGTACACTCCCCTTCTCCCTATCAATCCAGAGGCACCACTTGGAAGCAAAAGTAGAAAAGAGGAATGCAGCTTAAAACAACCCCTGCTTTTACATTAAAGCATTGTAAAGCAACAGTGAGGGCATCCATGGCATCCCAATGCACATGGGGACTCAACACAGAAGTTGTCCTGTTTCCAAAGGGCTCAAATTCTTACCAAAAAGGAAAGTGCAGCTTAAACCACCAATCCAACAGGAAGGAGCAGCAGCTGGATCTGCAGTGCTTGCCAGCGGAACAGGCAGAGGACCAAGCTGACATAACTACCCTCACTGCAAGTCACTTGTGCACACCAACTTCAGCTGAGGACGTATCTCCAATGCAAAAAAAAGAATACTGTATTGTAAGCCTAAAGACAACACACCTGATAACTGTGCTTTTGCATCAGATCCTTATTGAGGAACATGTCCTTGCAGCTCCTTCATTCCCTGGTACTCTCACATAAATTAATCAGCATTGTTCCTTACAGATAATTACTTATTTTGGCATTGCACCTTTTGAGAGGGGACAGTGGAAGGGATGAGTAAAGTAAGTAGAAGAGTAAGAAGTTTAAAACACAATTGATTCTCCTTCCCAAGCAATAGCTCTTCTAGCATTGTTTGAGGACACAGAGGACAAGAGAATTAATTTGGAAGATCTCTTGTCTATGTGATACATGAACAAAAAGGCCCATATGTACCTTAAGGAGGAATATAGGAATTTATCTCTTTTATGAGTACAAGTAATCTTTTTTCCCTCACCCAGTATTTTATTTTGTGCCAGACCTTCTTTTATTCACATACCAGTGTTTTACATAAATTATGCAAAATACAGAAAAGTAGCCTGAGCTATAGGTTTATTTTCACAGGAAACCTATATTTCTCCTCACAGAGAATCACTGTTAGAGGTTCAATACTGTAAAATACACAGATGATAATGTGTATGTAAAACAGAACACTTGATCCAGTATTTTATAACAGATAACATCCCCACACTGTCAATAATGCCAAATAACTAATCTTCCCTCCATAAACATATCTTTTATAAGAGCATTTCCTTTTACAATTTCTAGCATAGAAATCATAAGAAAGGAACACACAAGATTAGATGAGAGCAACTTGACCTAACATTGAAAAACAGATTACTACTCTCCTGTATTATAGAGGTTATAAAATCAGTGATTTCTATGTGGAAAACAGCTCACAAATTTTAGTAACGATTTCTTGCAGTAAAAATTGGGAAGACAATAAGATGTTCCCTTTGGTCTGAAATCATGCAGCAAAGTCAGATTATTTGCTCTAAAAATGCAAAGATGATTTACAAATTATCTACTATGCCTCAGCAACGAATTAAGAAAAAAGGTAACTTGCTACCTGGAGACATGTATGGTTTTCCATCATAATTAATAACGACAGTTTTATTACAGCTTATGTAGCAGCTAATCAATAGGCTTTGATACTTGCTCAGTCAACAACACTTCCTGTGTGCTTGCATAATGTCCACTATTAAGCTTTTCAGCTTAATCCCTTTACTACCTCTAGCCCAAAGTCAGAAGAGAAATTGTCATTATACTCAGTTCATCAACATTTCAGGTCCTGGAGGACAGGGAAGGAAGAGGAGGGAGAAGAATAAAACAGAGAAAAGGAGGTGAGAGCATTAGAAATTTAGAGGTGAAAATTTAGAGGTGCCATTCTACTACTTCTAGACTGTGTTCTGATTTAGCCCTCAGAGCAATTCCACACTTCCTCAGAAGAAACAAACTGGAAAATAATCCAGCTTCTCTCTCTATGCAGAAGATCACATGCTGACCTCAGGGGTACGAACCAAAGCTGTCAGAAGACAGAAGCAAGAACCCAACAAGCCTTGGGCACATCTCTATTTCAGCTGTCGCAGATGCAGAAGACATATTTCTGCTGCTGTAGTTCTCATCACGTACTTCATTTATTCCCCAGTGCCCTTTCATCTTAGCAGTAAGTCAAGAAGAACATGATGATGTTTATTCATAAGTCCAGAAACTAGTAATAAAAAAAAACAAAAAACCAACACTTAAGTAGATGCTGAGGTTCAACAGACAAAGATGTGGCTGGATTTCACGTTCAAATTGCAGCCAAATGCTTGACTTCATTTTTTTGCCTTCTTCAGATTTGGGATACTAGGACATCCCAGATCCAGTTCTCAAATGCAATGAAGAACTAAAGGAGACAACGGCCTTTATATGGAAAAATTGGTTTGGTTCTGAAAGCTTGAAATACCAAACCCTCTTTATCTTCCAGAGCATTCAAAACATCAAAGCTTTCCAGATAAGCATCTATGCTGAAACTAATAGTATCAGTTTCTTCAGTCTTTCTGCTTCTTGGCTTTCATCGCCTTTTTCCAGGAGATGCAATGCTGCTGAACTAACTACTAACAGAAAAGCAGCTACATGTAACAGGATAAAATGCTCTGCACAATGCAATACATGTATCTATATACAGATAGCCTAATTTTTTGTGCCTTGATACTATCATTTACAGATTTAATAGATACTGAAACTGATATTGCAGTAGTGACTTCTGCTGAAGACTAGAAAACTTGGCTTCCCCCAAGCTGTTGGGGGGAAAGACATCTTTTCTCATTTGCTATACACCTTGCATGTAGGAACAGTAATATTCATAAAGCTCTTTGAAGCTGTGTAAGGACTATGAAAGGAGTTTTGACATCCCTCCTGCTTTTTGGATACCTTGGGCCCTTCAAAATACAAAACATTTTTAGTTTCTGCACAGCAAGATACTAATTTTTCCTCCCTACCTTTTTTTTTCCACTTGATCAAAGCTATCTTCCATTTTCAGTTTTCTATTCTTCCCTAAATATTACAGCAGATATTAATTCTCAACTTCAGATACCATGTTTCAAATTTCTCTGCCTTTTTGATCTCTCTTGTTTCCTCAGTCTGATCTTTTATCCTTCACTGGTTTATCCTATATGCCATTTTATCGTCTTTTATACTCTTTTTTACGAGAAACTCTTTGCTGTACCCACTATTTCATCACCACATGTTCCTGTGAGTTTTTTATCTACTAAAATACTGTATTTTGTTTTTTTACCTCTTTTTCCTCCCTTTCTTGTTTTACCTGACCATGCTACCACCTGGCCTCTCCATTTTCCAGTCTCACCCTTTTTAATTTACAGACTTGCCTCACCCACTCCTTTGCAATTAGCCTTTGACTATTCTTATTTTTGCACAGCCCCAGAAGGCACTTAGCTCTAATCTTGCTTACCCTTCCAGCATGTTAATTCATTACCCTCTTCGAGCACCTCTTACAATTCCAGTTTGCTTGGCATCTCTGGGTAGATAAATACACAACCTTGGCATTGCTGAAGGAAACACACTGTGTCAGATGATGGGTATTTTGGAAATGGGCACCTGGAGGAAAGCCAATGCAGCATGAACACCTGCTATGCCAGGTCACCCACTGCTCCAGTAGCCAGGGCAAAACCAAACTTTTCTTTATCCTCCTGGCAAGGCTCTTCTCTGACTGGCTATTTGCTCTCAGTGAAAACATTTGTTCCCCTCATTACATACATTACAGGCGTCCAGTTTGCAAGTCCAGAAACACAAAACGTTTCTTTCTTTCTTGGCAAGTCTGGTTTTCAATAGAGTAGGTTAAGTTAAAACAACTGAGAAATATTTTGCTTTAACTTTACTCCTCAGTTAACAAAGTAGCTTTTATTTGAGCAACAAATGACACCCTGTGCATTTATGCACCAGAGAAATTTCCTGTGCTCTGAAGGCTTCCCCACCTCTGCAGGGAATGAGTACAAGACCAACAGCTTCTCTGGCTGACAAAAAGGAACAGGTTGCACCACTGACTGTAATTCATTTCTGCAAAGTCAGGAGGGACAGGAAATGCAAAATCAATTGCAGAAGAAGCAAATACTTTAAGTTGTGTTGCTATTGACATACCCTTTACTGGAATTTAAACTATGTCAGCCTGAGAGTTACTTTCACCTCATTAGTGTGACTATCGTGATACTAGATTGTTGCCATTTTCTTCACCAGCATAAACGACTGCACTGCTAGGAGAAAAAAAAGAAAAGATAATGGAAAGAGCGATGATATCTGAGCCTTTGCAGGGGAAAGAGCAGGTTAAGAGAAACGGGGAGCTCAAAAAAAAAAGATCTGTACTATGGCACTTGACAAGGCACTTCTAGGGCTGCTCTCAGGTTGGGTGACCTACAGGACACATAAGTGATCTCTCCAATGAGGGATTCTGGGGTGCATTCAGCTTTACGCTGGTGTCAGCAGCAGTTAATATATCAGATACAGCGTTGGTATCAGATCTGCTCCTGGATCCTGAGGAACCAGTACACTTCCTTGCACATCATCTTGGTAAGTGATGTGCAACGTTCATCTGAAATCTCAGGCTATGGGCAGAGCTGTGACAGGGACCATTTCCCAGGGACTTAACAAAGTGTGGATATCCTAGCGTCCTCTAGAAGGATTACATTTCCATATCAAAGCACGAGTCTTTGGAAGACAAAAAGGCAGTGTTTGCTAAATGGTAAAAGAGAACTTTTCTTTCTGCAACACAGTATAAGAAGAGAACATGGAAATCTGGTGCTTTTACAGTGTACTACCTCACTACCTTAAGTCCTGGACCAGTACCAAGTAAAAATATCAAGTTTTACTATCATTTTAATTTCACATTTACTGTTTAATCCATTTAGTAGAATTTCACCCAGTGATTCCTCCACCTCTGGGGGAAGTCAGAGTGGATGATCACGGTGATGCCTTCTGGCCTACAAATCTAGGAAATCACTGGGCCATTATAGCCTTTCCAAAATACGTGATTAAAAAGTACTTATAACACCAGCAGCTGTTGAAGATTCAAAAAGCCTCAGAGGCTTATGTGGCTCTGGAAACCAGAGGAGCAGGAAAAAACTATTAAAACTGCCAACATTTCTCAGAACAACTTCTTACCGTACAGCTACAAGATGATAATCAGACCATCATCTCCTGCATACCTAGCGTCACCCATCCTACAAAGATATGGAATCATTTGAGTACCTTCCAAGCTGAAGGGCTTGCCTAAAAGCAGTTTTTAAAAACAATGTTTATGCATGCCAGAAGTGGAAAACAGCCTGGATTAATTCTTCAGATGCCTGGAGACCTGCTCACAATGTGCTGCACCCAGAGGTGCAGAGGGTGGTTCCTCCTGAGGGCAGAGAAAGGTGAAAAAGAATGAGAGTGAGCTCACACTTCTCAGTGTGGTTGACAGAAGTGCACAGCCCATGCGTTTTGGCCCTATACGAAGAGCCAAAGCAGCAGCTTCCTTAAGTCTAAATCTCCCCTCTT